CCTGCACAACCCGACAGTGGCTTGCCCTGACTCCCTCTGTCTCACCAGCATCCATCAGCTGAGGAACAAGGTGTCAGAGGAGCATGAGGTCATCAAGAAGAAGGAGCTGGAGACTGGCCCCAAGGCCTCCTATGGCTATGGGGGCAAATTTGGAACAGAGCGGGACCGAATGGATAAGGTAACACTTGCAGGGGGCTTCCTTGGACCCCAGTGGAAAAGTCTTTTTCTCATAAAGGAAGGCATCCCTGTTTTCTGGCCTGAGCCTGAAGGGAGGGAATGGAGAGCTGGCATAGCTGCGCAGATTCACACAGCTCTAGCTAGCCCATCATCTGTCTGCAGGATCTCTTTGAACCCACTTGTATGATTTGTCTCTACGACTTCCTTGCAACACTCCCCTTAGCTGTGAAGAAGGACTTTCTGTGGCTTGTTTCAAACCTGCTGCATAACAATTAAATTAGGTGCCTCCCTACATGTGCTTGGAGAACTAATGAATATCCCTCTTCACATGCTCCATTACAGACCGCTGCCGTATGTCCCAAGGGTGAAGCTCTAGTTCACATTCTCTGTTCTCATGTCAAATCTGTTTTAGGTTTTCTGATAATCATCATCATGCTTCTTCCTGTACCTTTCAGCATTTAATACTTCTTTTTTTTTCAGAAGTGAGATGATAAGATAGCAGTAGTATTCAATGTATGGGGTCACTGTGGGTCTGCATGATACCAGGATGGCAGGGTGAGAAACAAACATTTCCAGGAGGCCAAAACGGAGCAGCCATGCTCAGACCCTTCTGCCAGAGCAGAGTGAGGCTGTTTTTGTTGAGCAGCTCCTTGGCCTTTGTCCAGTCTTACCAGGATGTTGCAAATGTTCAGCCTCTGGCCCTTCTGCTGATAAGTGTGTGCAATTTCTGGCCACACCACCTCTGGCAGGGAGCAGCAGGACCATGGCCTGGCCTGTGGTCAGAGTAAAGGGTGATCCCAGCCAGGTCTGCTGACCCTCGCTCTCAGACACAGAAAACAGGGAGCAGGTGCCAGACCTGCTCTCTGTGGGTTTTCGGTTGTGCACGCCTGCCCGCACTTTTCTCCTCTGTTTCCACATGTGATTATCCGCCACTCTATTTCACTGGCATTTGGG